CCAGGGACTTCGTCCCTGGACCCTCCCGGGGGGCTTCGCCCCCCTGGACTCCCTTCTGCCCCCCCCGACCCCTTTTCGACGCGCACGCACTTATGGTATAAAATAGTATACGCAACTCGTACGGGTAGCAAGCGGTTACGCACTTGTTGCGTAATATACTATTATTAAATAGTGAACTATCAATGATGAAATTCCTTGAAATTTCAGTGAAACTGTCCCTTGCGACAATTTTAGCCTAAAATTTACAACAGTATTCTTTTCTGATTAGATTATTAAAGAAATCACATCAACATCATTTCTCACATCACTCCCATCTTTTTTTTAATGTTTGAATGATAATGTTTGTTTGAATTTCACAATCGGTTTAGTAGAATTCTTCGGGAAAATGATATTGCAAATGAGAAAAATGACATTCAACTTGGCGGGGGAAATCATGAAATTTCAAAATTCAATGGAAATTCAAAGTAATTTCAACATTTTGCATAGCAAAAGATAAGAATTCTCCAACTTGTTTGAACTTTTAATTTTCAATCAAAACATGAATAATCAGTACCAAATTACTCCTAATTTCGAAGTAATTGGAAATTCAAGAATAAATTTACCTAAATTTTCCCAATTTCTATTAATCTTCATGGACTAATTGAACAGAAATTCAGCTGTTATTTATCTCTTCATCAAACAATGAATTATCAATGAGGAAATTCCTTAAAATTTCAGTAAAACTGTCAATTCAGACAATGTCAGCCAAAAATTGTTAACAGGATTCTTTTTTGATGCGATTGTTAAATAAATCAAATAAGCATCACTTCCGATTAAAAAATAGTATATTTCTAATCTAGGGAGGTAAAATAAAGGAGTTGTGTCTACGCAGAGAGAAATTTTTTATAAAAATTATCCTACGGATCTATAAAAAAGTATCATGAGTCATCGTTTCCTCATTTATATCCCGAAATTTAGTAAAAATTAATATATGATGATCAAATTTTATTCTACGTTTGAGAAATTGTATCCTGACGCATAATAAATTTTATCGTTCCAGTCTAATAATTTTTATGTAGATAACAACGAAAATTCTAGAACGGTTGGTAAATTTTACCCTACCGGTACAGTAATTTTTACTCTACCTGCGCGGTAATTTTTGTCTTTGTCAGGTTAAAATTCAGTAGCGAAGTGGTAAAAGGAGATAAGTCAATTTTAACTACTAATTAGCTTTCAATCAATATCTCGGAATCTAAGGGAGATAGCGAAATTTTCGTAATCACATTTGTTGTAGCACTCAATCGGCTTTACGAAAACGATTATAACAAAAATTTGGGTATCTCCCTTAGATTCCGAGATATTGATTGAAAACTGGTCAATGGTAAAAATTGACTTATCTCCTTTTACCACTTCGCTACTGAATTTCTCTAACGTAGAATAAAGTTTGATCATCATATATCAATTTTTACTAAATTTTGGGATAGAAATGCGGAAACGATGACTCATGATACACTTTTATAGAACGGTAGGATGATTTTTATCAAAAATTTCTCTCTGTGCACATGCGCAGTTTGGTAGGGGTCCATTATTTGACTTCCCGTGGTTAGAACGATATTTTTCGCCCCGGATATTTTTCGTGCAGGAACAAAATAAGATTCCGCTTCGCGGAAAAAAAACGCTTCAGACTCGAGAAAGTCATTAGTCATGATCAATCGCTCCCATCTTTTATGAGTGATTTGAATGATATATTGCAATCTCAACAGTGTTGAAGAAATTCAATTCAGTCGCGTGCTTTGAGAGGTAGGGGAGGATGTGCCTGTACCGCCCACCTAAGGGGAAATGCCAGTTTTATATTATAACGAATTTATATTATTAACGAATATGAAATTACCCTAAATTTTCAAGTAATTTACCTGAATTTTCCCAATTTCCATTAATCTTCATGGACTAATTCAACAAAAATTCAGTTTTTATTCGGCTCTTAATCAAACTGTGCATCATCCATGCCGAAATTGCTTGAAATTTCAGTGAACCTGTCCCTTGAGACAATTTCAGCCAAATTTTTTTAACAATATTCTTCTGTAAATCGATTATTAACTAAATCACATCAACACCACTTCCGATTTGAAAACCGAAAAAAACATTTGAGACTCGAGAAAGTCATTAGTCATTATCAATTACTTCCATCACAAAAACATGCTGCGTCATTCGGTGAAACCTTGAGCAATAAACTATGAACCGGTCCAGACACTTCCGAAAATGAAGAATTTCGAAAAGCCCAATTATCTCCTACCACCGCCAACGCTTCCACCGACGAAATAACACACTCGACTCATTCCTGCACCATGCGACTCACAACTAAACTCATTCCCCAGTGACTGATAACTCCAGAGTGTCTTCAATAAAAAAAAGAAGCGCCCGAGATAAGGTGAGACTTTTTTCTCCCGAACTCACGAGAAAAGATGATCGTTTATCTTTCAAGCCAGTCCTTGACACAGAGCAATAAAGTTTTCTTCTGTTCCCTTTGACTCCTCCGGAAATAGTGTTTCTGCTCCTGACAGACGTTATCAATAAATGCTTTTTAGGGAGCGCCTAGACGAATTCCAGAGGAACTATTCACATTCGTAATCGGGGTGTCACTCCGCGGTGTAATCAAAGTGTTGCGAGTGAGTAATCAATGATGTCATTGAAACCAATGATTTAATTTCCTGTAATATTTTTTAAAAATCGGAATACAATTTTTAAAAACAAAATGCACCCACTTGGAG